TACTAAACTACTAACCATTTCTTTCAGCAACAAAGTGCAGAGACCACAAATATATATAGTAAGAACTCTATTTCTGAGATTTATTAACCCTAAAAATTATTTGAACTATGCTTGTTAATATATGCTCTTTGTGAGGGCAATACCAAGCTTCAGCAACTAAAACATTTTCCCCTCACCCCTCTAAACTCCTTTTAAAAATTAATGTAATCTAGAGTGGAACAAATTGCTATTTGCCTCCCAATAGCTATTGTTTTTACACATCTATACAGTGAGAGTTTCTATAAAGACTAAACTCTCATTATCTAAGAATCTCAGTCTGTTGTACATGCAAAAATAAATAACTAAACTATACTTTATTGCAAACCTCTGGAGGTGTCAGCTTTGGGCTTGAGGCAATATCCTTTCCCTTCTAGAGCCAAATGTTAAAACTAATTAGAAACAAAAAATGATATTTAATCTTCTGCTTGTTCTTTACATGCATCTAAGCCAAGGTGTAACATAACTATGAGTTAGCAGAGTTTTTGTTTTGTTTTGATTTTGAAGATCAGTTTATCTTTATTTGAATCACATGTATTTGAGGGAACTGCGTTGCTCAAGGGACAGGTGATCAAAGCCCAACTCTTTAAACCTTGTATTTGAATTCAGAAGAGATCATCCATTTGGATGATCTATGTTAATTGAGTTTCTCAATTAAAGGAGCACCACATCACAAAATTCCTGTCTGATAAAGAAGGCGGTTGAATCAGCAGAGGAACTGATGCACCCTCTTCCATCCTTAAAAGGAATTGGGGTTATGACTGAGGTGAACTGGAAAGACAGTATTAAAAGGCAACAGCAACGGCAAACTAGCATTTTCTTCTGTAAAAATAAATAAATAAAATATATATATGTTGTAAACCTGGAAAGCCACTAGTCCACTCAGAATTGTTTTGTTGCAAAATAAAGAAGTAAATATTTTAGTCTCATTCCTAACAAAATTCTCTTTACAGGTACTGTGAAGAAATGTGGTTTATTGAAGATAATCCATGAGAAGTACAAGACCAATAAGAAAGTGGTGGATCCAGTTGTATCCAATTTCCTTCAGTCTTTTGAAGCTGCCATAGAAAATAACAAAGAAATAGAATCCTTGCTGGGGAGAGCTCAGGTGAGCGAGGGAGTCTTCTGTGCTGAGGGATTGAAATGTCTGCTAGTTTTGATGTATGCAGTTTTGAATTTTCTGAAGCAGCTAGTGTAGGAGGTAAAAGTTTGGTCTTGTGCTGGTTCAGACTAACAGGACAGGAATTTGCGTGAAGCAGTGGGAAAGATCATTCTTCAATGTTTCCTCCCTATATAGAGAGGGAAACATGGTCTATGCAAAGAGCAGGGCCTTATTTCAACCAGTGAAGTTACCAGAGACGCATGGGATGGCTGTGTACAAAGCGCAGGGATGCTGCTTCTGCAGGACTACCAGTGTTTTATGTTCTGCAGAGTGAGTCTTAATGGAGTGTGTTATGACAGAATGTGGTCCTGTTATTACGGAAAGAGGAGAGATAATGTAGGTTCATCTTCTGTGGATAGGTACCTTGAGTCTTGGATAATACATTTTTCAGAAACCCAGCCTGTAGAAATAATCTGACAACTGTGCAGGTTGCACTGACCAAAGTATTATATGCCAATATGTGAGTTTTTGTGTATTAAACCAGTTTGACATTTATACAAGGGGTTTTTCCCCTCCCTCCAGGTTTTCATAAACTAGGTAGTTCTAAGATATCTAAATAATAGAGACTAAAAACAGCAGTAAAAAAAAAGTGTGAATAACTCTCTAGAATTGCAATTTGGGGGGTGGGGGGGTTGGTGTAACTAGTGAATGGAAAACGTGTACAGTATTCTCCTTGCACAACAATGCCACTGTAAAGCTTCCTAAAATGAATTACATTAAATCGGGCGGTAGTGCTGAATTACATTAAATCAGGTAACAGCTCTGTAATTCACAAACAGTAGTAATTAAAATTAGTAGCAATTATACCTAACTTCAAGCATATTGTTAAAAATTGGTTATATTGCTTTGGCAAGTAGCAATTAAATATTTGAATAATTTTGCAAATAGACAAGTAGCAGAGGGGGAGAAAAAATTCGTACAAAAGGAAAAGCTGAAAAGGAAAGGATCAGTGATTAGTATGGAAAATGTACCTTTTTAACGAATTCAAAAGGAGAGGAGGAATCATGGTAAAGAGCGTGCATCAGCTCTTGCAATATAGTTTATGTCTGTATAATCCTGTGGTAATATAATTTAGCTAAATAGCCCTAAGTCTGAGCTTAAGCTACTCCTGTAGCACTACAGATTTATCCTAACAATTTATATTGATATAATTTTGATAGCCATCCAGTTGTTGTTTGTGTCCATTCCCAAGTCAGAATTGGAGGCTCTTAGTTGGCTTATTTTAAATAAGAGAAATCAGAAACACATGCTTGTTTGCTTGCATAGCAGTAACTTTCATTTTGCTATTGGGGCTCATAGTAGAGATAATTGGTGGCAGGCATTGGTCTTTTATTAGACCAACAAGATTTTTGCAAAAAAAATTCTTTAATTGCAAGCTTTCGGGCACAAACACTCTTCATCAGGCATTGGAGAAAAGATTGTACACGTTCTCCTGGGTAGAAATGAAAGTTCATATTTCATAGGATTTCACACTAGATAGAAAACTCCTCTGGGCAAGGGAGTTCATAGCTGGTATGGAATCTCTCACCTCTTGTGAGGTTTTGTAATGGTGCAAGTTACCTTGAAATAAAGGCAGGAGCAGTATCTCAGGTTTCAGACGGTCCGAATTGCTTCCTCATTCAGAAAATATAAAGGTTTCATTTTTAAAAATCGGCTAAAATTCAATTTAGTCCATGTGTCAGGTATCCAGGATGTACTCATTGGTTTAGAGGAAAAAGTAATCGGGGCTTTAGTAGAGATGATATCTTTTATTAAACCAACAAGATGTTTGGAGAAAAATTCTTTAATTGCAAGCTTTTTCCAGGTGCTTTTACTCATATTTAAACTTTTTTTCCAGATACACGGAGAGTAGAAAAGCAGAAAATGTTAGTTTTTGTCAAAAAAAAAAAAAAAGATGATCATGTAGGTTACTTTGTGATTGTTCTTTCTTTGAATTCTGCAGGAGAACTTGAACCCTTTAATAGTGCTAAACCGCTTTAAAAGGATCCCAGCAGAAGATATCCCTCTGCTTCTGATGAACCCAGAGACAGGAAAGCCTTCAGATTTGATTCTGACACGACTCTTGGTGCCTCCTTTGTGTATTCGACCATCTGTAGTGAGTGACTTGAAGTCTGGTACCAATGAAGATGACTTGACAATGAAACTGACAGAAATTATTTTCCTTAATGATGTAATAAAAAAGGTGAGCTGTTCTTTATGTAGATGCCATTACTGTAATTATTATATGGTTTGATTTGAATTGGAGGTTGTAAATGGCTTTATTTTTCTTTTTTTGGGCCCAGTCTAGCAATCAGTTGATGTGGCTGTTATGAAGTGTAATATGAGAGACAGTGTTTTGATCCAACCCTTTGAAATATATAAACAGGATGCATTTCAGTACTGACAAGTGCAGGGTGCTGCACTTAGGCAGTAGAAACCAGCAGCACACTTATAGAATGGGACACTCCCTTCTTGAGAGCATGGAGGCAGAAAGGGATCTGGGAGTCATTATTGACTCCAAGATAAACATGGACCAACAATGCGAGGTCACGGTTGGCAGGGCTAACTGAACCTTGTCATGCATCCACAGGTGCATCTCAGGTAGAGCCAGGGAGGTGATCCTCCCCCTCTATGCGATGCTGGTCAGGCCACAGCTGGAGTACTGCGTCCAGTTCTGTGCGCTCCATTTCAGGAGGGATGTGGATAACATTGAAAGGGTCCAGAGGAGGGCCACCCACATGATCCGGGGACAGTGGGGCAGACCCTACACTGAAAGACTGTGGGATCTAAACCTGTTCAGCCTTCACAAGAGAAGGCTGAGGGGGGACCTGGTGACTGTCTGTAAACTCACTAGGGGGGACCAGAAGGGTTTGGGGGAGACACTGTTTCCCCTAGCGCCCCCTGGCATGCCAAGGAACGATGGATACAAATTATTGGAGAGTAGGTTTAGATTAGACATCCGCAAGTACTACTTCACAGTTGGTTCCAGCTCCTAGCCGCCCTAACTTCCAAGGGAAGTGGTGCTGGCTCCTACCCTGGGGGTCTTTAAGAAGAGGCTTGATGCCTACCTGGCTGGACTCATTTGAGTCGTTTTTGGTTTGTTTTTTCTCCCGCCCAGGCGGGGGGTCGGACTTGAAGATCTACAAGGTCCCTTCGGACCCTACTTCTATGATTCTATGAAATAGCAAAGGCTGTTTCAAGTGATGCTTTCTGCTTGGCTATTAGTGACATACTGGTAAAATTCCAAGAGCTGTTAAATGTGCTGAATTGATTATATGTATGAATTTCAATCCAAAGTCCAGTATAGCCATCACATTTTTTGGTTACATCCCAACTTGATTTTGAGATGCATCTGTGGTTCAGGTAATAGAAATGTATATACTCTACTCCTGTGGCAGTAGGGTCTCTCTCACTTCTGGGCCTTCTCCAACACGTCAGCTGCTTATAGGTGTTCATTTCTAGCAGTGAAATTTCCATTGCTATAAATGATTCTAGGATAGGGAGCAATACAGGCATTCATCCTGAAACCTTCCTCCTTTCCTGTGCTCCTTGTGCCTTCCTGAGACGGGAGTGATCCTGGTCTGGGGAAAGCATGGGGAGCAGCAACTGCTCCTGTGTGCTTGTTTCCATTCAGGGAGACTGGAACAGTGAATCAAAGCCACTGCCTGCTCCTCTCACTGGAGTGCCCAGTGTAAGCAGGAGTCTTGCAGCACTGTTTTGTCCACTCAGCTTCTGGGCACTGGAAGGGGGCTTGCAAGAGCTGAGTGGATGGAACAGCATGTCAAAGCCCTTTCCTGCCTCTCACACTGGGGACTCTGGGTTAGAAGCCAGGAAGGTGTAGCTGGTGGCTGTTTATCCCCTCCCCTTTCAGTCTACAGGAGGGATAGGAGCAGCTGTCCCCCAGGCCTTGTTCTGACTGGAGTGACCCCATTCTCTGGAAGACACAGGAGCCTTCCCCCCCTGTTTCAATTACTGTTGGAAATGTACACACATTTGTTCTCCTAAAAGAAACTCCCAAGAGTAACTTCTTCCTGATTGGATTTCAGTTATTTTCCTTTTGTAACTGCCACTTTTGGTCTGGGAGAAATGGCTTGAATGTTTGTATGCTTGCTGTTTCTACCAGGGGAGTTGCAATTCTCCTGGTAGAAAGATAACACTTGTACATAGTCTCTCTTTTTTTCTTTTAATACTTTGCTGTTCAAGCTTTCCTTTCCTTTACCTCATCCTGTCCCTCCTCTGGAAGGGAAGGAGCTGTATATATCAACTTTTTGACATATGTCAGTGCTTTCCAGATTCTAGGAAACTCATCTCCTTTTTCAAAAAATGATAGCATCCTAGAATTTCTTTTCAGCTCTGTCAAGGACTGTATAAGACATGCAGCTGCTTGGGGTTTGTTAAAAACAATTAGTTTTGCAGGGGGGTTTCTTAAATACTGATTTGAAATTAAACAGGTGGGAAGGGTTGTAGCAATTCTTATTTTAGGTTTAACCAGGCTTGCTTTGGTTTAATTTAAATTGGTCAGGAACCTGAACAGAAACAAGCAAATCTCTAAAATCAGTGTAATCACATCTGTGCAGATGACTGAGCACTCCTTAAAGTGACTGAAACACTTCATACCTCAGAACCCTTGTATCAGCCCTCTGGAGACTAAGATAGATCCAGGCTGTGAGATTTGTCAAAACTAGCTTTGGGGTTATAACTTGATTCTCTGAAAGATGTTGCATAGTCTGTATGCATTATTCTTTGGGCTTTGTTTGCTTTTAGTTCTGCCACAGAAGTTCATGCTGCACCTCTTACGTCAGTGAGGGCCACCTGTTTTGGCGGGTGTTACAAACTAGTCCCACACCCTCCCCAAGTGCCATTGCAATCCTCTCTTCCTGCCTGATCAGCTGTTGTGCTTTCTGCTCCCTGCCCTGTCCTACCTGCCTGATCTGCAGCTCTGCTTTGTGCTCCATCTGCTGACATGCTGCCTGTCCCTTCCTTGATCATCTGCATGACATACAAGCTGCCTGTGCCACTTACAGTTGGCCACTGCACCACCTCAATGTGGTTATCAAGTTGGCAGCCCCTGCCATATGTGATTTTCTTTAGCCAGGAAAGGGATAAGTACAGTCAAAATTGTATCCTACAGGTATGAGAAATTCATCAAAAGTAGTAAAATTTTCCCCAGTCATTACTAGGCCAGTATCATAGTATTAACTATCAGTGTTGTACTTGTATTAAGTGTACTGTTTTGGAAATATATTTTTCTTACAAGTCTCATTTTCAAAATAGTACCCTTCTCTAAACTAGTTTTAACTGTCTGTTTTTATTAGATCAGTTTGGAGCCTTCCTATGTTATGTATACAAGGACTGTTGTCAGATGAACATGTATATCTTTAACTTTTGCCACTAGTAAAAGCTGATCTTGCCAAAAAGAAAATGATTGTGTGGTTACATGCCTGTGGGCTTGAGCATGAAGAGCTTGTAGTATAGGATTAGTTATGGTGAAGGTTCCAGTGCTGTGCTTCCTTCACAATTTAAAGTGATATGAAGTTGTTTGGAATGTTTCTTCACAAGCATCAAGCTTTTCTTCATGCACTTATGAATTTAGGAAGTTCTTGAAAAAACATGTTCCTTGTGAATTTTGTTTATCCCATTTATTTTCTGAACTGGGTAATTATCTTTGTTAGCATAGGATATCGGGAGCCAAAACACAGATGATAATGGAAGACTGGGACTTCCTACAGCTGCAGTGTGCTCTCTACATTAACAGCGAGCTCTCTGGAATTCCCCTTAACATGGCACCTAAGAAATGGACCAGAGGATTTGTCCAAAGGCTGAAAGGGAAGCAGGGTATGACAAATTTTTACACTTGGAAAATGAGTTGCCTCATTAGATTTTGAGCCAACATATTTAATAATTTACATGGTCAGTTGGTTATTACTGGTTCAGTTGGGCATTGTTTACTCTAGATCAGTGGTGCCCAGCCTTTTTTGCCCTGTGGGATGGATTGGGCCTGTGGGGCTTTGACCTGAACATGATCCAGTCATATCTGTGGTGGGGAAGAGGGGCCAGGCCCCAGGCTAGCCACATGGGGCTTGGGAATTTTGGCGGTGGAGGAGGAATGTTGTTGGTATTAATTGCCACCGTTCATCTGCTGCAAATTTTCCAACCTGTGGGGAACCTCGTGGGCTGGATGTCATGGCTTCATGGGCTAGATTTGATCCATGGACCAGGCACTGAGCACCCCAGTCTAGGTCAGTAACTCTCAAGCAGAGTGCAATGACAGCCTAGGTTGGGTTCCTTAAGATTATTACAGGGGAGCTGTGGGTTGTCATGCACTGTTAAGGCTGTTATGTATGTAAAAAAAAAAGATTCACAAGATAAACCAGGAGATCTGAAATAGGAATCCGTAGTATTAAGATCATTCTAATCTGTTGTGGTATCTCTCTAGTAATCTTCTGTGATCAAAAAATGAGCAAAAATGAAGAGATGGCATTTTGTGAGGGGGGTGCCTTGAGTCTAAAGAGATTTGAGAACTACTTTTCTAGATGATGGGCTTGTATTGATAATCCTGTATTGTTCCAGAAGTGCCAGTCTCAAAGCTTTCCCCTATTCTAAACTGGGTTTTAACTGACTCATTCTTTTAGGTCGGTTTAGAGGCAACCTGTCTGGAAAGCGAGTGGACTTCTCAGGCAGAACAGTTATCTCCCCTGATCCTAATTTACGAATAGACGAGGTGGCAGTACCTGTTCATGTTGCCAAAATATTAACATTTCCTGAAAAAGTAAGTATTATAAACCCAAGCTATCTTTGCCTGCATTTTTTTCATCAGAAACATGTATTACCTGTTGTCTGTAGTATTCTGATCACTGGATGAAATAAGGAAGTAAACAGGATGTGAATATAATCAGTGGAGAACAATAGAATGTCAGTCCTGGGGCTCTATGCCTGCTATCAGTGGCATGAGAGAGTCTTAGTGGCATAGGTTGATTATCTGTTGTTGGCTCTGAGGAAGCAAGTCAGCTTTACAGTGGCAGCATTGAACCCAGACTGTGTCCCAGTATAATATTTTTTTTATGGTGGTATGTGTTAGCTGTCACAGTAAACAGCTCACGGGTGTTTAAAAACCACACATTTCACATATTTATCATTCTGCAAACCTTTCTGTAGTAATTGTACTAGCTAATTGCGTGCCCTAAAATACATACAAGATGAGTAAAGAGGTTTGGTCAGTTTTTGCTTATAGGATCCATATTTCCGTTTCCAAGTTCTCATCTTACAGCTTTACTTGTTTGTTACATTTTTAACATTTTAATGTTGATCCTCATGTCTTGAGAGATGCTTTTCAAGTTTCTTCCTGGTCAGTTTGATCAACAAGCCATTAATTTAATTCAGTCACCTATCTTACTCCAAAACATCAAGGTGGGTTAGATGTTCTTGTTTTTTCTTCCAGTCCCTTTAGCAGGTTAAAATAGTTTGAAGCAACCAACTCTGAAGTCGGCAATTGAGCCTAAGAATCTAAAATGACTTGTTATTTCTTGGGGAGGGTGTTAATACACATTTCTAAACAATAACATTATGTTGAAGGTGAACAAAGCAAACATAGATTTCTTGAGGAAACTTGTTCGCAATGGTCCTGAGGTTCACCCTGGAGCCAACTTCATTCAGCAAAGGCACACACAGATGAAAAGGTATAACGTTTATCTATAATGGTTCACTTCCCATTTGCTATTATATTTTTATCTTCTTAAGTGATTTTGGTCGTTTATTCTGTAGATAAGGACTTTCTGGCTGTATCTTTATAGATACAGATATAGATGTATATAGATATCTTTCCTAAAGGGTATAACATCTAAAATCTTATGTGACCTAAAAGTAAATCGTGCAAGCAAACCTAAACACTAATGGATTCTTTCTACAGACCTGTAGTAAAGTTAGCACAGACTAAGTTTTTGTTGATCACTATATATAGATGATAGACCCCTGTTACTTTATAAAACAAATTGGTTCTACTTCTCTTTTTCATAAACATGATTTCCATGGGTATGCTGTTTTCCAAGGATAACAAGTCAGTCAGAGCATAATGTATCTGTAAATTAGAAACATCACTCTACTAGTCTATGATGTTAAACTGACATCACTCATTTTTGTAAGCAACTTCCAAGTGTGGTTTCACTCAGTGAATAAAATAGTTTCTTTCCTGAAGGATTATTACGTGTTCAAAAAGTATGTTGCAAAATGGTTGTCCCAGCACACTTTTCAAGAAACTAATACCAATAAAGGCATGAAGTTTACTTATTGTCTTCTCTGCACTTCTGTTTCTCTAAGATTTTGACTCAACTTTTTTCTTTTATTTCAAGATTTTTGAAATATGGCAACCGAGAGAAGATGGCTCAGGAGCTGAAGTTTGGGGACATAGTGGAACGACATCTTATAGATGGGGATATAGTATTGTTCAACCGACAGCCCTCTCTCCACAAGCTGAGCATCATGGCTCACATAGTAAGCACATGTTCAGCCTAGTACTGGGTTCACAAGTCAGCAACCTTAACCTTCAATGGTTTTCAGTTAATTTGCTTAATATTTCACTCAAACCATATCTATTTCTATCTAAAATGTGACAGCACTTGGGAGTTAACCCAGACACAAGAGTATGATGCTTGTGCAAGAGAATGGGGAAACATAACTCAACTCTCTTGTTCAGATAGTACTGCTGCATACCACAGTTTTCAGATGCCTTTGGTTTAGGTCTCTTGGTGGTTCGTTTTTGTTGTTAGTGGGACACCTGGTATGGGCTGTATCTAATGTTTTGCAAGTAAATAAAAAAATTAGTAAATAAATTCACTTAACTTTATTGTACCTTGCTAATTTTCTGCTAGTTGATGTTCAAATTAAGCATGTAATTAAGTAAGACTTGAATCTTTATTTATGAGGTAGGAGCATATAATCTACAAGAACATAACTTGGGAGTCTCTTTAAGTTTTCCGTAATTCTGTATGCTGCATCACTTCTATATTTTTACCCCTCTTTCCCCTCCTGCTTTTTTTTTGCAGGCTAGAGTCAAACCACACAGGACTTTCAGGTTTAATGAATGTGTCTGTACACCATACAATGCAGATTTTGATGGAGATGAGATGAACCTTCATCTTCCCCAAACAGAAGAGGCCAAAGCAGAAGCACTTGTTCTGATGGGGGTAAGTGGATCATCTTATTCTTGGGTAGTGGGTATTCTTCAGTACTCCTATATTTCCATATGACAAGGGTCTTTATTTCATATTGAATTTAAGATCTGCATTGATCAACAAGGGGTTCTGGTACTGATAGACAGTAGAGCTAAAGTCCTTAGCTGACTGGAAAGTCTATGTTAATGATATGGAAAACCTTAACAAGAAAGCTGTTAAGGCAGCAAAGAGTTGCTAATTACTTAACATCCTCGAAAATCAAGGTTAGTTTGTTCCCGTGTCTTTGGGATCTGGCTGCCAACCTTTGATTAGTTAAATGCTTCAGAAATAAGGGACCCTCTTCTGTACAGTGAGGGATCTGTCTCTTTCTGGTCACTTACCACAACAGTTGAGAGGGGTGATGAGGTAGGAACAGTAATACAAGAAAACGGACAAGGTATACAAGAAGGAAGGGATATGTTAAATGGATGAACAGAAAAAGAAGAAATGATGCCATAGCTGAGAGAGATTAAGAAGGGAGCCTATAGACAAGTTTTCAAAAGCAGTTGAGTCCCCTTTATGACAATTGGGCTCTTGCTTCCTATTGACTCTCGGTTAAAGGAGCACCTTTGAAGCATTTATTTGGTTCTCCTTCCATTCCCTTTGCCCTGCTTTGGCAAAAATGTGTTGGGAAAGTAACCTCCAAAATGCATCAGGTTTGGCTGTTTTCTTTTCTTGTATGAAAAAATGTGGAGAGAATACTCTTCTGGTTCAGAAGGCACATGGTTTACAAGTGTTAGTTTTAGTTCTAACTCTTATAAACATTAGTTATGATAGTTCTCAAGTGCTAAATTTCCTCCATCTTCAAAATGTATCCTGCACACTTGAGTAAGCTATGCTTAATGTTTCAGTGCTCAAACAAATTGGGTAATGGACTTGAAGTCATTTTTATCTTCAGAATCTTTATAAATTTCACCCTTTTTCTGTTCTTGCACTATACAGACCAAAGCAAACTTAGTAACTCCAAGAAATGGAGAGCCTCTCATTGCTGCTATACAAGATTTTCTTACAGGTCTGTATGTGAAGTGCTTCTTTTGTTTCTTTTTTTTTTTTTGCATTCCTGTATAAGTTGATATACCTATGATGTTTTAGGATGCAGCCAGTCTGGCATGTAAACATTGTCTCTCTGACTGAGAAGAAATGAAACAGACTAGACATAGTGCTGTCAAATGCGTTAAGCAAATAAATGGAGTACAAAATGTTTTTCTAATCTTCCACTCATAATCTTGGGTGATTAGGGTGAATTGTAATAAAAATTGGTTAACAAACATCACCAACCCTAGAAGTTACAGATTTAAGTATCTGTTAAGAATATGCTTATTGAGTATATTAGTAGATCAGCAATCTCTTTTGGAAGGGACTACTAAATAGTCCTTGGATATACTTTTATGGCTGCAGACAGATATGGTGGGGGGAGGAAACCCAGCACTTTACCAAAAAAGCCATCACATCAGTTAGGCCTGACTTGCCCTATGTCTTTATAGATCACACACTTCAGCAGGGTGAACTATTTTATCTAATAGTTGATTAGTACCAAAAAGCCCTGCGGAAGTGCATGGTCTATACAGACATTGGTTGAGTCAGGTCAAATGGATATGATGCCTTTTTTGAGCAGGTGCTGCACCAAGTTGAAGGTAAGACACTGGGGTTGTTTGGGTCTGGTATTTTTGTTTTTTTGTTTTCTTTTCTGTAAGCAGCCTTCATTTCTAAAGTATTGTAGGGGAACATTTATCTTGGTGTTGGGAATTTCTGGAACAAAAATCCTCTTCAGAAAAATGAAAATGCTGAGAAACATTGTTAACTCTAAGCTGTCTAAGCATTTCTGTCATCTCATGCATTAAATGGGTAACTAGTATCAGTTATACTTAATGTGCAATAACTTTTTAAAATTTAATACCACTTCAGTCTGTCAGATTTAACTTTCTTTTTTTGCATTCTAGGTGCCTATCTGCTTACACTAAAAGACACCTTTTTTGATAGAGCCAAAGCCTGTCAAATTATTGCTTCTATCCTGGTTGGCAAGGATGAGAAGATTAAAGTTCGCCTTCCACCCCCAGCAATCCTAAAGGTGCATCGTACTCTTTAACTGTCACAATTGGCCTTCTCTATATGCTGTGCAGTCTTGACTCATTTTTGTAGCTGTGTGAGACTGAATTTTAATGATACTGTTCTTACTGTAGTTTTCTTGTTGTAAGTGTTTCACGTAGTGATGAGGGAGAGAAGCATTATGTAGTTCTGTGTCATATGCAGCCTTGGGAAGCCCTAAAAGCTAAATGATGTAGTCTCAGGCACTGGATCATGCCAGTGTGTAAGGTTGTTCCACATTCAGTATGCAGGGCTGGGCTGGTGCTCCAGAGCATGCACAGGCTTGTTCTCCTGTTAGGAAAACTTACCTGGAGATGCCTGAACAGGCATTTTGCATGATGGGCTCCAAGAACAGAGAACTTGCAGTGCTGATGCTATGCATCCAGGGAGCCCTTGTGCATGCATGTTGGAGAGCTCTGCAGGTTCCCTTGGTCTGTCCAAAGACAGATAACATCTGCACACCCTGACTGGCTGACCCAGACTGTTCAAAGTCTGCCTGTGTCTCCTCAGGCCCCTTCTGCACATGTAGGTAAAGGCGTGATTGGATCTAATGCATGATCCACAGAATCATATCACCTGCCATGCTGCACGTACGTGGCAAGAGGCATGATTGTGGGATTGCACATTAGATCCCATCATGCTTTATCGCCAGTTCAGGGCCCCTGCATTTACAAGAGGTGGGCTCCCATGCTCTCTGCTGAGGGGGCTCCCAGCCACGGGGGCCACACACAGCCAGGGCCAAGTTCTGTACCTAATGAGCAGCTGGGGCCATGAACCCCAATTGCAGGGTTTCTCAGTTTCAGCTGTGTGCAAGGTGCACCTGGGGTCGAGAGCCCCAGGTGAGCTGGTGGTTTCATGCACCCCTGAGCCTTGGGGTCACAGTAGCCATGATCCCCAGGGCTTGGGGGTTGCATGCTGGCAAGGTGCACCTCTGCAGCTGAGAGCCCTGTCAGCTGATGAGGCTCCTAAGTACAGGGACGACCCTACTGCATGTGCAAATTTAAAGCTCAATAACAACCAGGTATACAGTTAGTACACATTTTCACAGCCTGCCTTTATAGCGGGTTAGAGCTTTTTGTTGTTTGATAACTGCTTTTTACCAGTTAATTGTGTAATACCTGTAATGTAGGGATTTTCAACCTTTTTTAAACAAGTGTACCCCTTCCAGTGGCAGCCACTGGATGTGGGGGCACACCTCCACAGCATCCAGCCAGTTGGGTGGTGCCTGTGGCCTGCAGAGGCACATGCCCTTGCCCCCCCCGGCCCTGCTCCTGGAAGGCCATGGTGTGGGATAATGGGTGGTGCCAGCAGCCACTGTGTGCGAGCCCCACCATCCCACATCCATCTGCAGTGGGCTGTCTCCTCTCCCTTGGCTATTAGCTGAGGGTGGCAGCCTGGTGGCCAATCAAGAGAGCGAATTGGGGTGGGGAGGACCATGATTGTTCATGTCAGACCAGCCTGATTGCCTTTTATGATCAGGTCACAAAAGCATTGGCTGCAGGTGTTGCTGGGGATGTAGTCTTTCTGGACTTCAGCAAGGCCTTTGACACCATCTCCCACCCCATCCTCATTAAAAAATTGGGCGACTGGCATTGATGCCTACACAGTCAGATTGCAGATTGGCTGAAGGGTCATACTCAGAGGGTGGTGGTAGACAGGTCATATTCAGCCTGGGGAGAAGTAGGCAGCGGAGTCCCCCAGGGCTCGGTGCTTGGGCCCACGCTGTTTGATTTCTTTATCAGCGATTTGGACGATGGGGTGAAATGTAACCTGTTTAAATTCGCTGATGATACCAAAATTTGGGATGAGGTGAGCAGGCTAGTAGGGGGGGAAAGACTGCAGCAAGACCTGGATAGGTTACAGGGATGTGCTAACAAAAACAGGATGTGTTTCAATACTGACAAGTGCAGGGTGCTGCACTTGGACAGTAATAACCAGCAGCACACTTATAAGATGGGAAACTCCCTTCTTGAGAGCACGGAGGCAGAAAGGGATCTTGGAGTCGTTATTGACTCCAAGATGAACATGGGCCGACAATGCGAGGTCACGGTTGGTAGGGCTAACCGGACCTCATCGTGCCCACAGGTGCATCTCAAGTAGGGCCAAGGAGGTGATCCTCCCCCTCTTTGCGACACTGGTCAGGCCACAGCTGGAGTACTGTGTCCAGTTCTGTGCGCCCCACTGCAGGAGGGATGTGGATATCATTGAGAGGATCCAGAGGAGCGCCACCCGCATGATCTGGAGACAACAGGGCAGACCCTACAATGAGAGACTGCGGGACCTGAACCTCATCAGCCTTCACAAGAGAAGGCTGAGGGGGGACCAGAAGGGTTTGGGAGAGACCTTGTTTCCCTTAGCGTCCCCTGGCATAACAAGGAATAACAATCACAAGTTGTTGGAGAGTAGGTTTAAATTAGACATCTGTAAGAACTACTTCACAGTCAGGGTGGATCTGGAACCAACTTCCAAGGGAAGTGGTGCTGGCTCCTACCTGGCTGGAATCATTTGAGCCCAGTTTTTTTCTCCTGCCCAGGCAGGGGGTCAGACTTGAAGATCTACGAGATCCCTTCCGACCCTACTTCTATGATTCTGTGAGGCACTGTGGTGTGCCATACAGGGCTGGCGGTGCCTAGCACAGCCCTTCCTCTTCCCCGGGTAAGAGGTGATGTGTGGGAACCTGCCAGGGGAGATGCCACCATGCCTCGGGGTACGCTCCGTCCCCACCCACCTACACGTACTCCTTATGACCTTTCCAATTACCTCTAGGGCAGAGTTAAGCAATTATTTCGGGCAGAGGGCTGCTTACTGAGTTTTGGCGAGCCATCAAGGGCCACGTGACAGGCAGCCAGGGGCAGATAAGTATTAATTTTCTCAATTTTTTTAGGGGCCCCACAGGCTGGATAAAATGGTCTGGCAGGCCGCATCTGGCCCACAGGCTGCATTTTGTCCACCCCTGTCCTAGGGGTATGCATACTCCCAGTTGACAACCCCTGCTATAACTTGTAGAGGGGGCCTCTGCTGCACAATGTGAGAATTATGAAGGAGGTGTGTTCTGCTCTCTGCAGTGACTTCCAGCGGACACTGAATGTCTGTATGTGGCTACGTATGGAAGAACTTGGTTGCTTTACTACTGCATGAATAACAAAGTTTTCCCTGTTTCTCTTTGTTTGTCCTTCAGCCTGTAACCCTCTGGACAGGAAAGCAGGTCTTCAGCCTCATTCTCAAACCTAGTGATGACTGTCCTGTAAAAGCCAACCTCCGGACCAAGGGCAAACAGTATTGTGGCAAAGGGGAAGACTTGTGTACTAATGATTCTTGTGAGTTACTCTGATAACTTTGCCTTCAGTTCTGATCTCTTACTTGTTCATTGCTACTGATATTGCAGCAAAGAAACATGATGAAAAAAATTCAATTAAATGCTTTTTTTCATGGTTAGAATTGGGAAATGAGAGCACTAAGGAATTCTGAGTAGTTGGTTGTTTTACTGCCTTTCTAAAAAATATTGTTACTTTCTGTAAAGACTCATGAAATACTATATTCACTCTCTATTTGTATGCAGTAATTAAGGAACCTCAGCAACTTCTGTTTGTGATTCATCAAACAGATGTGCTATATTCTAGTTAAAAATACTGAATATGATATACTATTTGAGCAGGAAGTGTTCTACAGGGAGATAATAAGCTGAGGCCTATCTGTTTCCAAACCTTTTTTTTTCAGGGAAAATACTGAAGTTGTTGAAATAGGTAGATGAGCTGGCTATCCTGAATCTTTTTTAGGAACCATCTCTGTCCCCAAGAACTTGCAGAAACAGAAACTGATCCTAGAGCTTCTCAGTCAGACCTAGTGTTTACAAACCAGGAAACAGCATGGGGCTCCAAGATGCATGGCGTTCCCTGGTGCATTAGCAGCTGTGAAACCAGTTAGCTGCAATCTGTTCCAGAATTTGCTGTTCCTCTCGCTGTCTAATTGGGGAAAAAATAGTTGCCTAGTACCAGACCTGTGCATGGATCCCTAAAATTAAATCTAGTCTTAGTGCAGCTGCTGAGAGGACAGAGCATTATGCTGCCTTGCAGCATGAGTCAGGAGGTAGCTGTGGGCTGTCTTCAGAACCTGAGGCAGTGTAAGGTTATTCAAACAGCAACTTGCTTAGGACAGCTAGTTGGTTGTATCTTCCAGCGATACAGCTCGAGAGGTGTTTGGAGCCTTTGGGAGCATGGCCAGAATGTTGCCTTCTGAACGCTGGTTGCTTTACACATTGACAAAGGAAAAGAGTGTAGTAAAATTTGGTTGACGATCATGTTCAGAAGAGGCACAGTCCCTGTCTGAAGGGAAAAGCACTATGTAGTAGCTGCAATAACAGTGTTTCCTGTTGAAGTGAAAACAAGTCACCTGGATGAGTGCACCATATAAAGGCCAAAGATGAAGAATATGTTAAACTTTTTTTTTACTTGGAGATGTCTCTCCTAATACATGCAATATAATTGTATTTCAAAAACTTCAGTAGAGTGAAACGGGAAGAATGGAACTTTTGGGGAGGAATTATAATTCTTAATTCCCAAACTCAAGCACTGGATTTCTCTAGTTCAGTTAATGCCTGATTTTTGAGTTACTACAAGGAAAAAAAAGAACAGCTTGTTCTCTAATTCTTTGTGCAATAGTCACTTAACATTTTCTAAGCTTAAGTGACTCACCAGTGCCTTGCTCTAAAAGGCCCTAGAGAATTTTAGATTGGTAATAAAAATAACTAAATAAAAGTCTCAGAATATTTACAGTTGCTATCATGTAATAATACTTCTTTATTGCAAGTTTTGAAACTGTTGATGTTTAAAGTTGCTTCTTAGTTACAGGATGCTACAATTATTTTAAAAGAGAATGTAAAAAAGCATCTCACTGAGGGAAGAGATGCATAATGCTAACGTGTGTGTGTGTGTATAATGTGTGTGTGTGTGTGTGTGTGTGTGTGTGTATAATGTGTGTGTGTGTGTGTGTGTATGATAGTTATGGCATAGGGATCATATTGGATAAACTCCATCAATAATCAGTGTTATTTCTATAAGCATGGCAAATACTTGATCCTGGTTTTTGTCATCAACATAGGTGAAACACTACTAAATTACTGTTAAGCCAACATTTGAACTTATGGAGGTGTTAAAGTATCAGATTTTCAGTTTTTTAATTTGTGTTTCCAGATGTTACAATCCACAATAGTGAGCTGATGAGTGGCAGCATGGACAAAGGAACTTTAGGATCTGGATCCAAGAACAATATCTTTTACATTTTGCTGAGGGACTGGGGTCAGGTAGAAGCTGCAGATGCTATGTCACGATTAGCCAGGCTTGCACCTGTCTATCTCTGTAAGTAATTTGAAAAGTGCTGCTTTTTTTTTTTTTTAAACATCCTTTTTAGAACAAAATATACATCATAACATAGCACATTTTCTATTGAAAATGCCAGCTGAGGAAATAGAACTCAATGAGATTAACTTAATGAATTCGCAAGTTCCATATAATAATAAAATTTTCTTATAAGGTGTTCTGCATGGGAATCTGAGCTGAACTCTTGCACATCAATCTCTCTCTCTCTGTAATTTTACTGTAGCTAATCGTGGATTCTCAATTGGGATTGGTGATGTCACCCCAGGCCAGGGACTGCTAAAAGCCAAATATGAACTTCTGAATGCTGGCTATAAGAAATGTGATGAATACATTGAAGCTTTAAACACTGGCAAACTGCAGCAGCAGCCTGGCTGTACTGCGGAAGAAACCTTAGAGGTAAGAGTTATGCTTTATCCTTTAATGCAGATGGTTCCTGAGAGTTAGCCATGAACAGATTCTTGTAAAAGACTCCTACTCTGATGGCATTGGAAGACTGGAGTAGATCCTGATAACTAAGCATGTGCTTAAACCCAGTAGTATTCAGATGCAGGCTTCAGTGTGTGTCTGTACATAGATTTCATGGGCATTAGGCTGGAAGGGACCTCAGAAGATCAAGTCCAGCCCCCTGCCTGAGGGGCAGGGGCGTCAGCTGGGGTCATGGGATCCCAGCAAGATAAGTATCCAAATTTCTCTTGGAGGCATTCAATGTGGGTGCTTGAACCACCTCCGATGGCAGGCTATTCCAGGCCTTGGGGGCTCGGACAGTAAAGAAACTCTTCCTTTTATGTCCAGCCTGAAATGGTCTTGCAGTAGTTTATAACTGTTCGACCTTGTCATCCCATGGGGTGCTCTGGTGAACAAACGTTCCCTCGGACACTGGTGGTTACCCCTGATAAACTTATAAGTGGCCATCAGATCACTCCTGAGCCTGCACTTTTCTAGGCTAAAGAGCCCCATGGCTCTCAGTCTGTCATCATAAGGTCTGTTTTCCTGACCTCTGATCATGCGCGTGGCTCTTCTCTGGACTCTCTCAATCTTCTCCACATCCTTTTTGAATTGTGGAGCCCAAAACTGGATGCAGTACTCCAGCTGTGGCTTCACCAAGGCTGAGTACAAGGGGAGAATGACATCTTGGGATTTGCTTGAGAAGCATCTATGGATGCAAGTCAGCGTTCTGGTCACTTTACTAGCCACAGCATTGCATTGCAGGCTCATGTTCATCTTGTGGTCACTGATGACCCCCAAGTCTCTTTCTTCCATAGTGCTAGCCAGCGTAGCACTGCTGAGCCTATAAGGATGCTGCAGGTTTTTCCTTCCAAGGTTGAGAAGCTTGCATTTTCAGCGTTAAACACCATCAGGTTCTCATCCGCCCATTTCCTGAGCCTGTCAAGATCAGCCTGGATCACCCTACTGTCCTCGGGTATGGATGCTTTACCCCAGAGTTTGGTGTCATCGGTAAACTTAGCTAGTCCGCTTCTGACTCCAGTGTCCACATCATTAATGAAGATGTTGAACTACAGGGGAAGGCAAGTGTGCCTGAGCCAACTCAGATCACTGTCTCAAATCAATTCAGCTGAATCAGCTTCGGAAGATTCAGAGAGATTTGCAGATTCAGCCATAGACTACAATGGGGAATCACTGACATACCTATAACTTTGACATTTTTTTTGGCTGATTCAGATAAAAATTGCAGGGATGGTAGCCCCTTCTGAGGACATGAAGCCCTTTCAAGAAAATAGGTGCAGGGGTTTCTGGGAAACTGCACCTCAAGCTGCTGAAAGCTAAACTCATGTTACATGTGTGTTAAGGCACAGTGGGGTGAAAACTGCAGGCATGCTAGGCCCTGCTGAGACCTTGGAGCCTGCCAGGTTTCAAGGAGATAGGTGAAGGGGTTTCTGGGAAACTGTACCTTAGGCTGCTGACAAGCAAAACTCATGACATGGGTGATGCTGTGTGTGTTAAGGCGTGCCCTCACTGGTGCTGGGGCCTCTACACAACACAGTAGCGTGCCCCAATGAGGCTGCATTCTCCTCCCCTACAGCCTCCGATCCACCACTTTTTAAATAGCAACACAGGTAAGCACTACAGTGCACTGCAGGAAAGTAGCATTAGCATCTCAGGCCACAAAACTGTCACAGAGCCTTTCTTTCCTTTCCTGCAGGAGCAGCTTCTCCAGCAGCTGCCAGAGAACTCTCCCTGCCAGCCCCAGCCCTGGGGGTAAAGATGTATCCAGGGCCCTGGATACCAGTCAGCTGACCAGGGACAGGTGGTAGGGGTGTTGGTCTAAGGACACAGCACTGGCAGACTGTTATTTGGGTCAATCTGGTATCTTTTAGTAGACCAACTGAATAGTTAGAGAAATACATCTTAGTAAGCTTTTGGGTTGAAAAACCCTCCATCAGGCCGAGGAAGCACCTGCAGTTGAAAGGAGAATAGTAAAGCAGCCAGAGGCTGGCATGCAATGCAGGTAAGAAAGCTGGTCAGTGAAAATGGAAATGGAGGTGTCAGAGGGTGAGGGACAAGCTGGGGTGGAGGGGGAAAGGGTATGTAGCAGGTAAAAGTGGAGAGATACCTGGGGCATCAGAATTCCAGCAGGTTGTAGTGTCAGAATGCCAATGTCTCTATTGAGCCCATGAGTTTCTGTACCTAGGAGGCTGAAGTGAAGTTCATAGGCCCAGCTGTGAAAAATGGTTTGTAAATTCAAACAAGCACTGAACCTTGCTAACCTCATCACCAGCAGCCAACTTCCTACATCTCAAAACACAAAACCTGCCAATATATCTCCAGTACCCCCACAAACTGCACACTAGAATATATCAAAGACAAGAATACCCAACTACCTGTGGGGGCACATTTCTCACAAAAGAAAACGCTCCGTCTTCAGTCTCTCAGGCCTGATCCTGAAAGGGAATTTACAAACCGCTTTTCACAGCCAGGCCTATGAACTTCACTTCAGCCTCCTAGGTACAGAAACTCATGGTTCCCCGGGTCCCCTGGTTTCAGATCCAGCTCCTCCTTTGGCAGTGGGAGGCTTATGCTGGGAGATGAACTTGGGGTGGAGGAGACTGTCATTCTGCTGCTGGTGCCTATTTCTGGTATTAGGGAAGGTGGTCCAGGTTCATGGACAGGTACTGCTCCCACCTCCTTGCTTCCACTGCTAGCAGAAGACTCATGGCTGCCAGGAAAGAGGATGCATGTGTGTTGGGTGTGGGGGGAATTGAAGCTCTAGCTCTCCCCCTACCCCCTCTAGCCTCTCTTCCTCCGCTGGGAGATGGAAGACCTGGCACCTACCTTTGCAGCACACTTCATATTAGTCTTTCCTGTGCTGGAAAATGTATCTGTGTGTATAACTTAACTAATAATATATATTGTCATCATCTTCTCTGATATATGACTGTGTCTGACTTCTGTATTGTGTTTACTGTTGTGTGTGCAACTAAAATAATATCATCTTCTATGACTGTTTGACTTCTTCTGTGTTGTGTTCTGTTTATTAATCTCTGACTTCTATGATGTGAGTGTGTGTAATGTATGTGCTTCCCTGCACAGTGATGGATCACACTGCCAGGGAAAACACAGCTTTCTTTTTAAAAAGTGTTGGAAAAACAAACAAACCAAGAACAAATATAAATTGGGGAAAAAATGGATTGGATAGGGGTAAGTAGAGGGATTCTAGTTAGTAAGCTATATCCAATCCTTTTCAAGAACAGAAAGTAGCAGGAGACTGACTAGGTAGGAAGCCAAGCCAGTCCCATACCTTTCAGACACTGTTGCTCAGGCAGAAACAGCTCACAAAAGGCACAGAAAGCCTGCAGAGAGGCTTATATGCTGTTTCTTTGTCCCTCCCCCAGAGCACCATGATTGAAAGGGGACTCAGGGGGAGCTCACAATCACTGGCCAGCTAGAGATGTCAGTCTTCCCCCCCTGCTTCCCCTCCGTCTTCTCAGTTTCTGTTCCCCTGAAAGACTGCCTTCCGAATCTTTTCTGAATTGATTTGGATGCTCCAAATCGATTCGGAGGGGTTTTTTTCTTTTCCCAATTCAATTCGGATTTGGTGATTCAGCCTCGGAATTGAATCGCAGACTGAAGCTTTGCACAGCCCTAGATATGCATATTTGCTTAACTGCAAAAAATAGTACTGATCCCAGTTTGCCTATTGCATGCATTATAGCAGACTGGAGTTATCTCCATATCAATAACATGCATAAATTGCTTAAATGTGTAGTGTTTTTCAGCCCTGTTTGTAGCATAATTGTTACTCCAGTTAGCTGCTTGAGAGAGGGTGAAGGGAAGAAGCTTTCAAAGGCTGCTACTAGAAAACTAGAAAATGATGGCATTTAGTGTTTGCAGCTGGTATCTCCCTTGGTTTGTAAGGCTTTTAATAGCAGCTGCCATAGGGGACTATTGGAATCTTTAAAAATGCTGAGAGATGGTTAGTTTTGGAGCTGCTAATTCAACAGCACTGACAGCATTCTGTACTTAAGGACCGTTGCTTAAAGTGCTGTCAATACTGTGGTATTGTAAGCCCCAAACTACTATTTCCTCTCATTTTCAGAGCTTCTAGCTGTCATGATGGGGACTGATGTTAGAAGTAGTTAAAATGGTTAAAAACAGACTGTACCCAATAAAGCGAATCAGCTGTTCCGGGTGTGTGTTGGCATAGCCAATCTTAGTAAGTTACTTGGATACTTGTCACAAAAAAACATTAATTTTGTCACACTTCTCAAAGTTGAGTGGAATGGTAAGAACTCTTCTTAGTAAAAGTTCAGCATCTGTATCAAATTCTTCTGTAGAATACATAAAAGTACATTTCAACATATTAACAGTAACAATAATATGACTTATGGTCAAAATATGTATTGTGATGTGATAACTATTTCTTTTAATTTAAGTACATAGGTGTGTTTGTGGAACTTCAAAATAATTTTTATTGTCAAAACTTGCCAGTCATCAATGGATCTTGCATTCTGTTGTCTCTGTTATGTAAATTCTATTGTATTAACTCAAACCCAAGATGAGGTTTTTCCTCATTCAACAGGTGGCAGAGGGCAAGATGCAGGAGAGCAACAGGCAGGGGTCATATGACTTGACTCTTTCACTGTCTGCCCCCTTGCCACTGCTTACCTCCCTGCTATTCCTTTCCCAACTTGCAGCAGTGATGGGAGTATGAATTGTAAGATTATCCTCTAGTTTGTTATAAACATGGAAGACTAATAAATTTATCAATTTTCCATGTCTAGGATCTAATTATTGGGAAGGTTGTATTAAATTCAAAGTTGCCTTGGGCTCAGATAAATACCATACTACCTTTTTATAAAGTCATAGTTGTTTTTATTCATAGAATCAGTCAAAGGAAACAGGGCTGGAAGGGGCTTTGACATGTCCTTCATTGCATTTCCCTGTCCCAAGGCTAGATGTTTGTAGACTATTTATTGTCATATAGGTTACTGACAGATGTGAAGTGGGGAGGGGGAGGACGGGACACAGTGCTTTACTGGAAGAGGAAGCACATTAGTTTGACCTAGCTCCCCAGTGTTTGTATAGATTGGATGCTTCAGTGGACCATTTTGGTGCCTTTATATAATAGCTTAGTTAGTTTTAAGGTCCCACCCTATCCTGCCTTCTCCCTGAGTACTTGTGAAGCTTTTGGTCATAGCATACTGTGTTTCTGTATCTATTAAATGTATAAATTCTTTGATCCTAGGCTTTAATTCTTAAAGAGCTCTCTGTTATCAGAGACCATGCTGGCAGTGCCTGTCTCAGAGAATTGGACAAGAGTAACAGTCCCCTTATCATGGCTCTCTGTGGTTCTAAAGGTAAGATTTAGTTAAGTTCTGGAATACAGTGAAACTGCTGCCTACATCAGTGCTCTTTAAAATCAGTGGTCAGCACAAGTGAAATGACTACTCATTACCCCACCTCTCAAACTATGCAGTTGTGTAAAAAGGTTTATAGCATGCTGCAGTAAAAAGATAAGTTAGCAGCATATGTTTCAATTGTCTAACACTAAGCACAAGACTTAATGTAACCATTCATGTTTAGATTTTTGCTACCATAAGATAAGACTTTCCTTTCAGCTTTGCTGCCTTTGAGATGCTTGCAGAAATACACCATGAAAAAGATCTTATAGTATCAACAGGATCAAATAACCTATGGAAAAAAATGGCAATAAATAAATAAAATCCCTTTTTATAGAAGCCCAACTGAAGTCCATATGTTCCTATATCAAGCTGTCGTGGTAATCCGTCTTCCTAGTCATTACTCTTCTGCAAGATCAGTTGAATAAAATTATTCTTCTGTTTCGCACACCATCTGGATCCATTTCTGAATATGCTAACAAAATGTAGTAATTCATCATCGGGTGAATTGTGTTCTATTTAGATCTGTAAAAGACTTTGAGATCCTAACAAGAAAGATGTAGCAGGCATGGGGTTTTTTTTTTCTGGCTGTCTCTTCAGGATGAAATAATCAAAGAAAACCTTTGAGGTAATGACTCTTAGTGCCCTGTGGTTTAAGGCAGTTTGTATTGTACTTGTCACCAGCAAAATATTACAATTTTAGTGGTAAACAAAACAAATAGCACTTAAAGAACTAGATCACAATCTGTACAATAATGAATAATGCAAGGCCAGCTGACGTAAGAGCTGTAATCAAGGAAGAACGCAGTATCACAGAAAAACATAATAATAGAAGGTACTTGAATTGTATGGATAATAGGGGTGTGCGAAACCAGGCCGTACTTGATTCGGACGCAGCACGAATCAGGAACAGTGATTTGATTCATTGATTTAGATCACTGTCCCTGATTTGATTCGGCTGATTCCGAATCTGAAGAGTTGATGATTTGGGCATAGACGCAGCTAATTTTTCACTTCCAGGTACCAGGCACAGCTTGTGAACACTGTGATGGTGGGGCAGGTGGAGTGTCCAACAGAAATGTGGAGCGGCCCCCCGGTCCACTTCCAGTCCACTTCTGGGTCCACTGGGAGCATGCAGAGGGCTCCTGCCCCCCTGGGTGCACCCCAGCGGACCCAGAAGTGGACTGGAAGTGCTTCTGGTCCACTTCCAGGTCTGCTGCCAAGCATGCTGGGGAGCCCCCCGCACTCCTGTAGGACACTCCACGTGCCCCAGCATCACAGCATTCACAAGCTGCCTGATGCCTTGAGGTATGTATAAAAAAAAATTTAAAGCTGTGTCTATATCCAAATCGCCAAATCTTTCTGATTCAATTTGGAGAGATTAAAGGGTCTCCTGCTTCCATTTGGATTTGGAGATTCAGCCAGCAAATCAGGCTGAATCTCCACTGAATCAAGTTGGGGACCAAAGCGTCACACAACCCTAATGGATAACTGGCTTGTGCGTGGTGTGATTGACTGGAACAAGTAACAGAACTGTTCAGTTAACTGATGCCCATTTAAAAGAAGAAGAAAAAAGATATTGAGGAAGTGGTGTGGTCTATTTCTGTTTTGAATATGCAGTGCATATTGTTGATTGGGTTGTTTGTTTTACCCTAAAGGTTCCTTTATTAATATATCCCAGATGATTGCCTGTGTAGGGCAGCAGGCTATCAGTGGGTCACGAGTGCCTGATGGATTTGAAAATCGGTCTCTACCTCACTTTGAGAAGCATTCCAAGGTGAGTAGCCTTGCATTTGCTAAAATTTTAATGAAATCTGTGTAGTAGAAATGAGCTCAGTTGAGTTGCCACTGGAGTCTTTCACCAATATGTTTCTAAAAAGACTACTTCTAAGGATAAATAAGCAGATAAAACATTTCATATATAATTTTGTGCCTGGATTGGTTTTTGAAGAAGTTTCATTAACCTGAACTTTAACAACTCAGGTTTTTGTTTGTTTTCTGTTTTCTCAGAAATGGTCCTTTCACTGAAATACTTGTATATTAAAATAAATCTGGGAATAAGAATATTCATCATTCTTATTACTTAAGAAAATTCATTAATCCATTCAATTTTTTTACATACTGGCTTTTTATGAAGTGGAATATTGCTGTCTGGTTTCCTAACTATCCTGTGCAGTAGTGTATTTCAAGAATTCTAGTGCATGTGAAAGATGCCCAAGCCCAGAACTATGGCAGTTAACCATGCTATTGCTTCCTTGCCACCAAAATTCAGGACTTTTGGGAATCCAGTTTTCTTGCATCTAATTTTCACCAGCTGCTTTTGGTTTAAAAAGGTACATGCTATAGCAAAGAAACTACTGTATTTTTTTTGCATATACATAGCCAAATGAGTGTTCTTACTGTCCTTCAACTGTGTTGCAGATTGGAATGTACACAGAGTGCTCATGGACTTAATATTGGTTCTCTACAATAAATATCTTTCTGTCCTGGATGTATAAAAATGCACCGTCTCAAGTTTTATTTTTTCCTTCTCTCACTTCTCTATAGCTTCCAGCAGCAAAAGGTTTTGTTGCCAATAGTTTCTATTCTGGCCTGACTCCTACAGAGTTTTTCTTCCACACCATGGCTGGTCGGGAAGGTCTTGTTGATACAGCTGTAAAAACAGCCGAAACTGGATATATGCAGGTAACTGACAAGTGTGTAGACATGGGTACAGTCTCCTTCTAGCTAGGGGGATTATGATTGTCAGTTATACCTTGAAGTAAAATGACATATTTATCTAATGTTTGGTGCATGAAAGTACAGTAATGAGGCTTCTAATTTGGGCCTTTACTAAATGGTACTTACTGTATCATGCTCATACACTGTTTTTGTTTATCGGTGGAGTATGTCTGAGAATCCTTGCTCATAAGAGTCCTGATCTAATTGAGTGCCTGTGTTGAAGTGGTGCATGCCCAGAAATTCTGTTGAAACCAATGGAAATCTGAGGGTGTGGAACATTGATCCAGTATGGTAACTAACTTAGCTATTAGTTCAGTAAGAAACAAAGATGATGTTAGTGGTACTGTCAACCTGGTTCTGACATTTAATTGAATGACAGTTACTTATCTAGATGAAAATGTAACTTTGTTACAAGTCCCCCTCAGAAGATGCAAGTTGTGAGAACTTGGCTTTTTACCCTGATGTACTAGCTTTCGGCTGTGTATATCCCTGGTTCACTCCTAGGTAGCAACTGTGATGTAACACAAACTTTTCTGGAACAAACTAGTTTACTCTGCTCCCATGAACAGGCTAGCATCATTTATCTCTATGAAACTACTCAAGTTAGGCATGCAATTCTTACTCAGAATTGTTTTTTTCCCTGCCCCCAGAAAAAGCCAAAACTAAACCTACTTCCTTAAATAAAAAGGAATTCCACCACTAACAAAAATGGGAGTAGTGTTACAGACTGTCTGTACACTGATGAAACTGACAAGTTAAAATCCATAAGCTAGTGTGCAATTCTTAATGGGAGGGAATTCTTCCATATGTTTTGTATGATGTGACTCCTGCACAGAAAATTGTACATCAGTGACTTTAAATGCCTCGTTATCTTTTATAATAAGTAACTACATTTCATGTTGCTTCTCTCACCTTTTTTCTCCCTGTGTCTACTTGAAAGGCTTGTGGAAATGCCTATATGATGCACCAAGTAAGGAAGTTGCATTTTTCCTTTTATCTTTCAGGAAATATAAAATTCAGTCGGAATCAAAATGTAACACTCAGAGGCTCTTCCCTAAAACTCCTTCAGTGTTAGACTCCTTCTTATACCTTCCACATTTCTTTTCCTCTGGTAGCGATATGGTTCGTGGCATAGTGTCCATTCCTCCTAATATTATCGAGTGCTGGTCAGGGCTGTCCCTAGTGGGGTGCGAATTGGAACAACTGCCTCAGGCCCCACACTTTAGGGGGCCCTGCGGAGCTGAGCTGACTTCATGCCCAGCTGCTCACCACCTCCCCTAACACCACAGGCTGATTTGCCTTGGGCCCCACACCTTGCTACGGTTATCTCTGATGCTGGTACATCACAAAAAGAAGAAAAATAATGTGGTGTCTGTGACCAAACCACTTAAGTCCCAATAGAATTCCCTTTATAGAGGTCTTGAAGGATCAGACAAATTGTGACATATAAAGTAATTCAGGGCACTTTCATGGAACAATTTATGGGGATTTTGGACTAAATTACCTAGATTCTATTTTCTGTGACTTAAAAATTTGTGACATACTGGGTTTTGAAATAGAAGTCGTCTGCAAGTGTTGCAAAGTATTGACCATTTCTGTGCATTTATTTGGAATTCCAGGTGTTCTCACTTCGTAGGATCATACTCTGTCTTAAATCTTGCAGTTAAATAATAGATAAGAAAAATAGCAGGAAACATCAATTTAAGTCATGCTGTGGCCTGCATAGATGTATTTTGGAGTCTGGAATATAGTGATTGATTTCTTAAAATAATATTTTTGCATTTCTTCTCATTCCAAAATATGAACTGCAGGGTCTGTCTTTCAAGTAGAATGGACCTAAGTACTAATGTTTTTTAATACCTGCAAGTGAAGGTAGTATAATTCCCCCAGTGTGGTGTGCCAATAAAAAAGTTGTTGCTTCTAACTTGGAACTACATAAACTAATGCTAAATAAGTTACCCCCAAATAACCTTGAATCTAACTCCATAAATTATTAGATTGTTGTTTAAAAAAACAAATTTGGGAGTAAGGCAACTTAGTCATGACTTTACATGTTTGCTTTTCCCTCTCCACAACAAGAGGATGATATATCTGTTAAGGCTCACTTATGCATTTTAAGAAAAAGGTCAAAAATCATCAAAGCTGCTTTAAAAAATGTCATTTGAAAAGACTGTTGTAAAACTTGTTTTGATTTATCTAAATGGCTGCATCAAGTGCTAAAGGTGGTAGCTCTTCATTTCTGCATTTAAAAAAATGAGAGGTGATGGAGGAGAAGTGTGCAAACTTTTACTTTGACCTTTTCTTATCATTGCTGTGTTTGGTGTCTTGTCATTGCTCCC